TCAAGGATAGGAAATGTTGCCTTCCCGATTCTATCCGTGATGTGACATGAGTAGAAGCGTTAACATACTTTCATTGTAATATGTATAAATACATGCCCGCGTACAGACATACATTAACAAAAAACAAACGCGCCTACAGAAACAATAGCACAATACCAGCAATTATACTAACATTTGCACATAAACGCGTACATTCGAGTACACACACACACACACACACACACACACACACACACACACACACTCACACACGCACACACACGCACACGCACACACACACACACACACACACACACACACTCACAATATGTGCGTGTGCGCTCCTGCGACTTAAATCAAGAAAGGCTACTGTAACTGTACCCTGTTCAACTCCGCTATTTATTGCAAGTGTCCGAGAAATTCAGTGAGGATATTACTAGTGTCGTGTAACAAGAAAGACAGAAATGTGTGGTGTCGAAAAAACTGTTATTATGCTATTATCAAGCTTTATAGTATAATTATATTTTGATTCAGTGATTCCTATAATTTAAAGAAAGGGAGTCATCCCCCGTATGATATGCAATTCTGCAGGTGTTACATTCAAGCACCTTTTTCTTCCACACACCTAATTTAAGACAATGACATTGACAATGACAATCTTTATTCATCTCGCAGGGAGAAATTTGTCTTGGTCGTTAACAATGGCAGTAGACGTTACAAAGGTTAGACTTAAAGGTGCACTCACGCAAACGCACAAAAAGACAGAACATTATGCCAAGTAAAGGTAGGTCAAATAGAGAGCCTAGTCTTAGTTCCTGCCGTGATCTGATAAAACGCTTTTTTTTCATTTTGACGAGAATTTTTTTTTATTTCACTAATGAATTCTACACGTGGAAAGTCATCTTGACATATCAATATGAAAGCCTAACTGTGACTAGTTTTTGAAGAAATTATAATTTTAGATTTGTTAAAACGCATTTATTTCCAATGGGATCTGATGAAACACACTTTTGTTTTTCAGAGATAATCCCATGAAGGGATTTTTTTTTCGTGCGTATCGACCATCCACAACTGCCATGATCTGATGAAACGCTTTTTTATCTGCGTATCGACATCCGTATTCATCTGTGATCCGATGAAACGCATTTTTTGGGTCAATCTAGGGAATGTGTTTTAGCAGATCCCAGGTGAAATTTGGCAGGTTACAACTTCGCCTTTTCGGTCCGTAGGTTCAAGAATGGTCAAAGAGACGCAGAAAATACAAATGCGTTTTATCAGATCATTCTTGGATTAAGGCGTTGACAATAAAACGCATTTCTACAAGGGCGATCGGATAAAACGCATTTTTCTTACTTGTTTGTTTGTCTTTTGCTCAAATTCGATGAAATTTGCTTTAATTTTGGTAAATGAGACGTATCTTCACGTGGAATAGTCAAACAAAATTAAGATTGCTATTTGTTTGTTTAATTAGCAAATAACCCCACTAAATCGCGATTATCTCGAAACCTTGACTTTGAGACAAAATCTGTTTGATCAGACCACGTAGTCGTCAAGTATATGGGCGAAAAATTTCGAAGTTTTCGTGGGGACATTGCACACGTTAAAGATCCTCTGGTGGTTAAAATTTGTTGAAGAGTAAGCCATTACCCGAGAAAAATTCGAACTTTAAAAAATCCCTTCCCCAAAAAATGTTATAAAATATCCCTATCACACCTGTAAAAATGGCAAGACACACCGTTATACCATCTGTACTTCCAAACGTATTGACCCTATTTCTCTTTTAGAGCCTATCAAGGAAGCCACGATCTGAAAAGAGGATGGCAGTACTTGGGGCCATCTACTTCTAATAAAATGCTTACCAGTAAGACAAAGAGTATCAAACATAGTGCTTTAAGATCGTCTGTCAAGACGCAATATGACCATAGCTGATATTCCAAAGTTTCAACAATTGGGTCAGTACAATTTCAAAGAAAGCTCCATACCCGCGTCAGTGGGGTAATGAAAGTCTTATAAATCCTCTATGCTATACATCTACATCAATCCTCATCAGTTCGGTTTCCAAGAGGAAAAAGGGGGGTTGGAGGGGGGAGGGGGGGGGAGGACGAGGTTCCTTTTATCGAGTTCCTGCTAAGACAATGTGCCCACTTTCAGCACTGGTTCGTCTTGACAGGGAAGGTGGAAGTGACCCTACTTGGATGAATAGTACATAACAGCTTTCACTAAAAAAATCAATTCTAACTTTTTAGACATCAAGCATCCCTTGTTCAGTCAAATAAAAACATCAGTCAGAAATTAAAGACCTAGGCCTCTGATCCGTAACAAAGAAAGATACAGAAGGCCATTTTACCATCATCCATAAAAAAATTCTTCCACCTTAACCATCATGTATAAGTATTCATATGACCGTAGAGCATGCATCAGAATAACATTGAGTATGTATCTAGCTTAAGATTATTTTTGTTTTTGCTGCTCATTTATATTATGCATGTGATTGTAAGCCTGCGTGTGTGTGCATGTGTGT